AACCTTTGTCGGGGAATTGCAAAAAGGATTCAACTTTGGAACCGCCTGCAGCAGCAGCAGAATTAGGAGGGGTGGTACTCCTGTAAGTAGCTTCATTCATGCTCCTCTCCCTCAAAATCTCCTCAATGTCCTTGTAATAAGACATCTTCGCAGAACCATTTCCATTACTGTCTTGATTACTGTCTTGATTCTGCTTAGCTTTCTTGAACTCCTTCAATAAATTCCTCCACTTGTCGGTGCACATAGTGGGGGATCTATCGAACCCTCTCTCCCTCATTTTCATCGAAATCTGGTCCCACAAGTGCTTATTCGATTTCGAGGTATTGAATGAAGAATCGATTTCTCGGCGAAGGGATATGAGGGCCCGTGTCTCTTCTTGGACCCAGGTCTCGGCGCGTTTCTTGGGGGCAGTCGATTTTGGGTCATAGGAGAATGATGGGTTGTTTGTGTTTTCATTAATGGCGTTTTCCTCGCCTCCACCGCTACTGGCAGCAGCGGCATCACCGCCGTTGGTGATGAGATGGTGAGGAGGGACTTGAATTATCATACTGTTCCGGTCGGTTTCTTGTTTGTTGTAGAAATCTATGGCTTGTTGTTGAGGTTTTTCAGACATGTACATGGTTTTTTGAGTAAGGAAAATTGAGAGTTTGAGAGGATTTTGGGTTTCCCTTTTTCAGTAGAGATTGCTGTAACAAGGGAGACAACATTTGTACCTTCGAGACTTTGTTTTGTTTGGTTACAAATATTGCAAGGGGGAGTCGTTCTCTCTCTTTCATTTTTTATGTACATATTTTTTATTTTCGCATTTTCGCATTTTTGGTCAAGAATGATCCACCTGCACTCGTAGTTGTTGAATAGAATTGACACTACCAAAAAATCGTAGCTGAAAGATCTCGAACTGGATGATCGAATTTCAAACTTGGGCGAACTTAAGAGAACACGAACGGCTTCGAATACCTGAAACAAAGGCAATGAGGTATGTGTTCGTCGCCCCTCCGATACTTAAATCAAATAAGAAATTTAGTGCATGAAGCTATAAATTGGAAATAATGAAAAACGTACCTAGAAAATGAGCTCGAATTATGTATTTATAGGTGCTGATGATAGAGTCTTAGAAGGATTTAACCATGTGCGGTCCTTATCCTCGTAGGATAAAGAGTTAGTGTTTATTTCAAAGTATTTTACTTGAGTTTGAATCGAGGACGGAGTCAATTTGGGTAAGAATTGTAGGTGGAATTGGATAGTTCTCCCCAGGAACCACGCTAGGGGATCGAGGGCCTTATATAAACAACGACAACCTAAAATACACCCAACCTCACCTATGAGAGATTCGTGGGCAGGCAAGATCAGGGTAACGAGGTCGAGTTCAGGTCCTAAGAGATGTTGGGTTATCATAGGCCCCAGTGCATCGAAGTCGAGGTTGGTAGTGCGAATTTGGCTACGAATCGAGATGCAGAAAAGTTTGGTAGTCCAAAGTTATATTTCAATCTAAGATACAACTGATATCATGGCTTGACACGTGTATGACATGCGTTGGATGGGGAGGACGCGAACTTGGATGGTCCCCACATGTCATTATTCAAAGTCCAAGATTAATAGACCGTTGACATTCTAAAGATCCCTATAAATAGTCTCTACAATTCACTTTCACTTTTCACTCTCAGTAAAAGAAAGCTCGAGCTCCCTTCTAAAAAGGTCAGAGATCGCGCCTTTAAGTTGTTAATTATTTGAAAATCATAATGTCGAGTAACAGCAGTAGCAACAACAAAGAATCGAGTTCTAGTGATAGTAGCAAACCCTCTAGGAGCTCAAACGATGGTGAGAACCCCGAAACCCTAGGTACTTCCATAATTCCCATGGCCATACCTATGAGTTCGTGTTCTCAGAGCGAGGTAGTATTGACCTATCCAACGAACCCTACAAAATACAAAGAACATGTAGGGTTCATGCCCCTGTGTGATGTTCGAACTCCCGAGCCAATTGAAACCATAGTCGGAGCTCGAGAAGGAGAGATGAATTTTTTAGAGATGTCCTTAAGGTCAGGCTTTGATGGCCTCTTCACCCCTTCTTTATCCATTTCTTGACTTCTTTCTATTTGTGCCCGGGTTAGTTAGCCCTGAACAGGTGGAGGCTTCTAGTTACTTCTTTATCCTCTGTAGGTGCTTGGAGATCAAACCTAGGATCGACCTATTGAAGATGGTTTTTGACATGAAATTCTCGCCGGGGTATAATTGTTTTGTATGTTTGTCTACCAAAGGGGGGTTTAGGACACCAGAGTCCCCGAGCTCTCTCCGGGGCTGGAAAGAGTGATTCTTTTTTGTCAAACCTCAGGATCTCGATCACCTTTTTAGCCCGAAGTGGGAAGTTTCGGACAAGGATAGGTTGAATAAGGGTTAGGCTTAATTTGAAGTTCTAGAACGAGATAGGCTGAGATTAGTGAATCATGACCCTCTGGCAGAAAAGATTGATTATCTCCTTGAGGATGACACCTTCGATCTGGCAAACGTCAAAGGCCTCGAGGGCATAGTCTTCCTTCCTTATTCTTTTCACGTGTTGTTTGTGAGATTTAGGTCGAGCTTAAGTATTTATCATTGTTGCAGATTTGGATATGTCTTTTGACCTATCGAAGCTGCTAGCAAACGTTTATCATAAGGCCAAGGGCCCCAAGCCTAAAGCCCCGGCCCAATTCAAGGGGAAGAAACGGGCCATGGAGGTCGTTATTAGGGGAACTCCGACCTTCGAGCCCCAGGCCTTGTCGAAAGGTTAGACCTCGACGTCGAGGGACCCGACCTCCCTACCACAGCAAACACCAAAATCACAAGATTGAGCTCGGGGGTGTCAGGGCGTGGCTGATTAAGGCTTCTCGTCGATTTTTGATAGCACTCTTGAGGAGTACTTTGTGTGCGCCCTGGTGAAGGACCTTGTTGATCGATTTGAGAAGGAGGTTAACATTCACGAGGGTGTCAAGACGTTGGAGGTCTTGACTTTGAGGGTAAGATATTGAACTTAATGATGTTTCCAGTTTTATGTTCCATTGATCGCACCGACGTCAAGTTTTCTTACTGTTTTTATGCAGACGTTGAGTGTGGCAAGATGTCTTACCTTAAATGGCCTCAATATCTCAAGCCAGCTGGAAGGGATCGAGAGGGAGAGAGATTAAGCTCGAGGTTGAGAAGGAGTGTGACGATGCGAGGTTCGACTTTTGTAAGGCTCGAGAGATTATCGGGATGGCCAAGGATAAAGCTGAAAAGGCCAAACTCGAGCTCTTGCAAGCTAAAAAGAGCTTCGAGGAGGAATTGTCAAAAGCCCGAGAAGAGGCTCGCGCTCAAGGAATCAAAAATTTTAAGAAGTCTGACGAGTTTGGGACTCTTCTTGGGCAGTATGGCTCAGGTTCGTACCACTACGGACTACGGCTTGCACGCTCTTTCTTGAGAAAGAAGCTTCCTGACGACCTGAAGTTGGTAGTGGAAAAGCTCAAGACGGTGAACGAGCTCGAGCTATCTGCCTCAAAGGTCGACGATGAGAGCGATGGTGGTGATGATGATGATGAAGGGACTCCTGATCAGAGTGGTGTTGATACCATTGAGCTTGATTAGGCCTTAGCCCTTGAATTTTTATTTATTTATTTATTTTTTTCTTTGAAAATTGTACAAGTACATTGCCTGACCTGGGCTCATTTTTTTCTGTGATGGCAATTTGAAAAGTACTACCCGATCTTGGCTTTGATCTTTGAAGTGTTTATCAGTTCATGCAACTTACTTTTGTTACGAGATCGTGCATGGATTTTATGTTCGAGTGTGGATATTATGATTTTAATTTTGGGCTGTTGTCACGATCATTAAAAGATCGATCATTAGTATAGATTATATTTTGTAACTAATTAACTCGAATGTTGACGTATTTAGCCCGGGTGTGTGTGATAGCTCAAGGATATTGTATGTTTTAATAATACTGATCGTCAAGACTATGAACAGATCTATCATTTTACTTGAAAATTGGACTTCGATTTCTAAGCTCAAGGATGTATTTTCAGGCTTCCAATAGGAATGTCATGTTTGGGTCAACTAGTTCAAGTATTAGTGTTGTGTACTGTAAACAAAGTATAGTTTTTAAATTTGGTATATCGAAAGGCAACTATTAGGTGGCTGATGATTTCAAGGATGAGCTTGGGCTTGTCTCTTATAACTTAAACGAATTCTTTCGTTTGTAGATAAGATCGAGTATGGTCTGGTATGATAAACTTTATTCATACCACGACCTCGATCTTGACGTTCTTTATTATGAAGGCATTTTGGGATTGACGTTGTCGGGGTCTGGTGATCTTGACTTGTTGACATTTGAGGTCTTGGCATATTCTGTCTGCGAGTATTTTACCGAGGTATGACAGCGTGTGTTTGGTTCTATTGGTTGAGTGTTGGCGACATGCACGGGGCACGAGCTTGCGCTATTTTGATTCAGTGTTAGCTGCATGTGCAGGGCACAGCCTCACGCTAACTTGGTTAAGTGTTAGCTGCATACGGGGAGCACAGCCTTACGCTAATTTGATTCGATGTTAGTTGAATGCGTGGGGAACGGTTTTATGCTAATTTGATTAAGTGTTAGCTGCATGCGCGGGGTACGGTCTTACGCTAATTTGGTTAAGACTTAGCTGCATGCACGGAGCACGGCCTTACGCTAATTTGATTAAGTATTAGCTGCATGCGCGGGGCAAGACTTTATGCTAATTTGATTAAGTGTTAGCTGCATGCGCGAGGCACGACTTTACACTAATTTCACTAAGTGTTAGCTGTATGCGTGGGGCACGACCTTACGCTAACTTGGTTATACAGGGAAGTAGTAATGTAAAGGGAAAATTCATATATAATAAAAAGGCTCAAGGGCAATGATACCCGAGCTTATTGGAACATGTACTGTTTGGGCGTTAGAGCCCGAAAAGTGAAAACGAAAGACAGCAAACATAATGTGGGCATGCAAGCCTGAAAAATTATAGTTATAACTAGTTAGTTGTAATAAAATTTTAAATTGTCAGCATTCCATGGCCTTAGAAGCGGCTTCCCCGATGTGTCTCTAAGGCTGTAAGTTCCATCTTTCAGTTTTCTTATGACTTCGAAGGGTCCTTCCCATATTGGTCCGAGCTTTCCTGGTGGGTGTTCGGCAGCTTTTGCTTTTCTAAGGACAAGATCCGCAACTCTGAACCTTCTTGTGAGAACCTTGTTGTTAAAGTGTCTTGCTATTCTACTCTGATAACTTGAAGCTCTAAGTGAGGCTTGTTCTCTTACTTCTTCAAGCAAGTCAACGTGTTCAGTGGTTTGTTCCTCCATATTTGTCTCAAGCTTCCTTATTGTGGGGAGGTTGACCTCTATTGGAATGGTAACTTCCAGTCCGAAGGCCAGCATGAAGGGTGTCTCACCAGTTGTTGTTTTATACGAAGTCTTGTGTGTCCATAGTATGGAAGGGAGTTCATCAGGCCAGTCACCTTTGACATCCCCTATTCTTATTCAAATGTCTTGCAGTATGATCCGATTAGTTACTTCAACAAGCCCATTACTTTGTGGGTGTGATACCAAGGTCAAGCGATGATCAATCCCATGGTTAGCACAAAAGCTCCTAAACTGTGGATTGTCGAATTTCCTTCCGTTATCTGTGATGAGGACTTTCGGTATTCCAAACCTACATATGATGGACTTTCATATGAATGATCTGAGCTTAGGCTCTGAAATTGTTGCCAGAGGTTTAGCTTCTACCCACTTTGTGAAGTACTACACTACCACAGCTACAAACTTTAACTGTCCTCTAGCCAAGGGGAATGGCCTAAGAATGTCGACCCCCCATTGTTCGAAGGAAGATGAGTAATGAATGGAAGTTAACTCCTCAGTAGGAACATGTCTGATGTTGCCAAACTTTTGGCACTTGTCGCACTTCTGAACGTAATCTGCTGCATCTTTCTTCATACTTGGCCAGTAGTATCCATACCTTATCAACTTATATACAAAAGCTCGAGCTTTTTGGTGATTTTCGCACACACCTTCATGAACTTCAGTCAATGCTTGAAGAGACTCGGAAGGCTTGAGGCATCTCAGGTAGGGGAGTGTGAGACTCCTTCGGAACAAAACTCCTTTGATTAGACAATATCTAGTGGCTCTATATCGAATACTTCTAGCAACCAGAGGGTTCAATGGTAGGTTGTCATTGCTTATGTAATCAACTATTGGATCCATCCAGGAAGGCTCATGGTCAATATCCATGACACTTGGCTTTTGAGCTATGCTAGGTTCTGCTACTATCTTGATGTGTACTGTTCTGTCGAGTCCGTCCACACCCATAAAGATGAGTCTGGATAATGCATCAGATTCGATATTATCAGCCCTGGCTACCTTTAGAATTTTACAACTCACAAACTGCCTCTGAAGGTCATGTACTTTTAGACAATATAAACTCATCTTTTTATCCTTTCTCTCGAAAGATCCCTCGATTTGCCCAACCACTTGTTGTGAGTCGCTGAAAACTTTGACATGCTCCAGCTCAAGATTTTTTGCCAGTTCTAGGGCTATAATGACAGCTTCATATTCTGCTTCATTGTTGGTAGCCTGATTATGCCCAAAGTATAACGTGGTGATTGTAGTATAGCTTTGGGGTGTCGTATCCACAGGGAGATGGAAAATTGTTTAAAGGATCAAACAAACTGGGGTTTTCATGATTTTGTAAAGTGAGCTTTCAATTTGAAGTGAGATTTAAATATCAATATTCAAAATAGTGAAGCACCGGAATTCACTCCCTAAGATTGGATCAATCAACATTTATCATTCATACGTTTTACTCTAAAATCAAGGTTCCTATAACATATTCCTACTTTAGTCTATTGAAATCAGATTAAGAAGCGTTCATATACATCAATCATATGGAAGTAAATAATCCATCAACGACATACATGAAATTGAAACTCAATAAATATTTTGATCAAACGATAGAAAGACCGTGACTAATTCTATGAAAAATCTAATAAGAAATGAACCAATTTCAATTACCAATTCAAAAAGGGAAACCTATATTTATTTAATTTCATTTGCAATCCTGGAATTTAGAATTCCTAACAACATATTCCGCATTTATTTATTGAAACAAGATCAAGAAGTGACAATATACCTTAAGCATAGAGCAGTAATCAAAACACGTCAATAATTCAATTAAAATTTAAATTCAACCAATATTTTAGTCATTCAATAGAAAAAACATTATTGAATTCATGAACAATTTAATAAAAGTTAAACAAACGTCAAAGGTATAATAATAAAGAAGAAATCTAAATCCCAGAGTTATTCGACAATAAAAATCACATTATATGAAAGAAAAGATATTGAAATCACCAAATCCGATCGAGATCCTTCTCGGCTTCACCAAAGATTTTAGTTCTTCATGGAGTTTCTTGTGCCAAGGATGAGAGAAAAGTGTATGAGGCTCAATGGAGGCGTTCTGGGACATTTTTGGGGTTAAAACCGTGTGCAAAACGCGTTTCCACAAGAGGTTGAACCGAATAAGGAAAGTAAATTTTTGGCCAGAATTTTCTGTGCGACTGCTTTCAGTATTTTGGTCATAACTTCCTCTCCCGATGTCTGATTGAGGCGATTCAAGTTTCATTGGAAAGATAACTTAAAGTACTACAATCTTGATAGAAATATCTCTTTCCAAATTCTGACGTTTACTAGGTCAAACATTGATCTCAATTTTCGGCTCAAAATCTGAAAATCCTTATATCCGGTTGGAATTTGATTTGTGAAAATATTATAGGCATATTTAACTTCTTTTGACTTCTAATTGCACCAATGGACTCCTAAATTTCTCAAATCATCATTCCATCGCCCGTCTCATCTATGAATTATTTGTAACTTGGTTCCTGAACTTTCACTTCTTCTCGCTTTGGTCTTTTTTCATTTGTTTCTTCCAAATTTCATCGTTTTCACCAAAATGCAACCTAAACCAAAATATAAGAGTAATGAGTACATTTTGGCATAATATAATCACATGAATGCAATAATTAAGAGGGAAAAATATGGTATTTTACACTCTTATCATGGCCTCAAATTTAAATCTGAGCGCACATTGTATTTCTATAGTCTTGTCTGGACTTGTGATGATGATGCCGACCTCCAAGCCTTAGCTGTTGGAAGCCCCATCCACAAAAATCTCCCATATTTTCAAGGTCGTGCTCGGGTCTTTAGGCTGTGTTTCTAGGGGCCTTGGGGTGAGTTCTGCTATGAAGTCAACTAAAGCTTGAGCCTTGATTGCGGGTCGTGGCTTGAACTCTATGCCAAATTTGCCAAGTTCAATTGCCCATTTTAACAGTCTTCTTGAGACGTCCAGCTTCTAGAGTATGTGTCTATGAGGTTGGTTAGTGAGCACAACAATTGGATGTGACTGAAAGTACAGTCGTAATTTCCCGACAGCTATTACGAAAGCGAGGGCAAGCTGTTCTGCAAGTTTGTACCGTGTTTTTGCATCAAGGACTACCTTACTTACATAATATACAGGCTGCTGAACTCTTTCTTTCTCCTTTACCAAGCTCCACTTACTACATTCTGAGAAACGGCCAAGTATAATAGCAACTTGTCACCGGGTTCTGGTTTGGTAAGGACTGGAGGTATTGACAGTGTTTGCTTAAGCTCCTGAAATCCTAAGTTGCATTTCTCATTCTAGTCAAAGCTTTTATTTCCTCTAAGTAGTTTGAAGAAGGGAAAACACATGTCCGCTGCTCGAAAAACAAACATGTTTAGTGCTGCTAGGTGACCTGTCAACTTCTGAATGTCCCTTTTACACTTAGGGGCCTCCATACTAATCAGAGCTTGGATTTTATCAGGGTTCACCTCTATTCCTCTGTGCGTGATCACGAAACCTAAAAACTTTCTTGATGCTGTGACGCCATACTAAATTTTGAAAAGTTAAATTGCTAGCCTAAAAATTAAATGAGCAAATTAAACGTGCTTAAAATTTCGGAGTATTACAGATGCCATCCCAAGTGCACACTTTTCAGGGTTGAACTTCATGTTGTGCCTTCGTAACGTGGCAAACACTTCCTCAAGATCAGAGACATAACCATTCACTTGTTACTCTTAACCACCATGTCATCCACACATGCTTCAACCGTTTTTCCAATTAATTCGGTAAGATCTTGTTCACCAACCTCTGATACGTTGCTCCAGCATTCTTCAGACCAAAGGGCATGACCCTGTAACAATAGATGGTTGAGTCAGCCATAAATGAGGTCTTTTCTTGATCTTCTTCTACCATGAATATTTGGTGATACCCCAAAAATGCATCCAAGAAGTTGTACAACATATGACTTGACATGTCCCCAAGATTGTCAATTCGAGGTAGAAAATAACTATCTTTAGGGCATGCTTTATTTAGATCTGTGAAGTCAATGCAGACTCGCCATTTTCCATTAGTCTTCTTGACAAGAACTACATTAGCAAGCCAATTGAGATATTGTACTTCCCGAATGAACTGTGCGTTAGCAAGTTTAGCAATCTCCTCCTTTGTGATTTCTTGTCTTTCTGGTGCAAACTGCCTCTTCCTTTGCTTCACAGGTCTTGCTTCTGGATTAATGTTGAGTCTGTGCACTGCTACCCCTGGGTCGATTCCAGGCATGTCCTCAACATTCCAAGCAAATACATCAATGTTGTGGGAGAGACAATTTAGTAGTTCAGCCATGACTGCCGTATCTAGCTCCCATCCGATTATCACTTTCCTGCCAGGCTCGAGCTCGAGCTCGACCTCTTCCAATCCTTCCACTGGAGCCAGTCTTTCATGATTCTCGTGCTGGAGCTGGAGCTGGAGCTTGAGCTCTGTAACCCGCATGACGTCGCCCTTGATTCTCCGGACATTAGTCACATAACACTGTCGTGCCACTGTTTGGCTGCCTCGAACCACCCTGATTCCATTACTTGTAGGAAACTTTATAACCAAGTGGAAGGTTGAGACAAAGCTCGAATTCTATTGAGCAGTGGTCTTCCCAATATGGCGTTGTAGGCCATTAGAGTACGGACAATTTCAAAAGTGGTGATTTGCGTTACTTGCTTACCTTTTGACCCCAATGTTAAAGGCAACCCGACGATACTTTCCGGGTAATGACCCTACCTCCAAACCCTTAGAGAGGTGTCTTGACTGGCTTGAGCTGTTTCAATGAGATCTCCATTTGAATAAAGGCTTCATAAGACAGTACAGTTGTACTTCCGTTGTCTACCAGAATTCTCTTGACTTCAAAGTTGGCGATGATGGCAGATATGACCAGAGCATCATCATGAGGGAATTATATGCCTTCCAAGTCCCTTGCTCCAAAAGTGATGTCTTCTGTAGAACCAAGATCTGATTTTGAGATAGTTGAAGGTTGCCTAGCATATTGTTTACGCCTGCTGCTAGAATCTTTCCCCAAGGTTGCTCCTCGAAAAATGATATTAATAATACCTGCGGTTGGTTGCTTGTTTCCCCGACCCTCTGGGGCCTTGTCCCTATTCTGATTATTCCTTGGGTGCTTGTCATTGCAAACATAAGAGCCCAAAAATCTCCTTTTTATAAGAGTTTCAATCTCCCGCTTTGAGGTGAAACAATCTTCTGTTGTATGTCCATGATCCTGATGGAAATCATAGTACTTGTTCTTGTCACGAGTATCGGGTGGAGACCGCAATCTAGGAGGCCACTTAAGTTCCTTCGAATCCTTGATCTCCATCAGAATGTTAGACCTCGAGGTGTTTAAATGGGTAAAGGATGTTGAGGAGGGGTCCTGCCTTAGCTTGACCCGAGGTGCATCTTGTCTCAGATTGGACTCGTGCGGCCTTTTCTGATCGAACTTTCCTGATGAGGAAACTTTTCTTCTTGGGGCCATGGTTTCTTCCATATTGATGTATTTCTCAGCTCGTACGAGTACTTCGGTTACTAACTTTGGTGGGGTCTTAGACAAGGACATCTTGAATGCTTCACACTTAATGGCATATGTCAAAACTGAGACTATGGTAGTGATATGTAGATCGAGGATCTGAAACCTTTCCTTATTGAACCTGGTCATGAAACTGTGAAGTGTCTTGTTGGGTCCTTGACGCATCTGCATGAGTGATGCGGCTGTCTTTCTGATTCACTTGCTACTTGCAAAGAAAGTGGAGAACTTATTTCCAGATCTAAGAAGGAGACAATAGAGTTGGGTTCCAATGTGGAAAACCAATCTCTAGCTGCGTTTGTGAGGGTCTGAGAGAAGGCATTGGACATTACTACATCTGGTGCATCCTGTAAGTTCATGATATTCGTGTACACATTGAGATGGTTGATGGGGTCGGTTGTCCCATCGTACTCCTTTATCCAAGGATACTTGAACTTGTCTGGAAGGGAATATGAGAGAACTTCTGGAGTGAATGGCGTATTGGGGGTGAATCCTGTTGTTGTCCGAGTATTTTGTTGCATACCTGCTACTATCCCTTCTTGAATAATTCTAGCAAGTTCAGCAGAGTCCATTGTAATAGACCTTGAACCTGAAGCCATTTGCGGTGCACTTGAAGTTCCAACCCCACCATCATCATGAGCTTTACGTGGGACTCGAGCTCGGGCATCTGCCATAAAAACACCTTTAGGGGCTGGAGTATGTGACGGGTGCGAATTTCTCTGGCTTAACAATTAGGTTAATGCAGCAACTTGTTGACGAAGCTCCTCAAAAGTTCCTGCTGTAATAATAGATGGAGGAGGTGCTGGCATCTCTGACGATTCTTCTTGAGAGACATGGAGTTCCTCAGGAGGAAGAGGGCTATCCGGGACGGATGAGCTTGCTGGAGGAAGACCTGAACGTGTATGGACCATGGCTTTTGGTAGCGCTTCTCACAGACGGCGCCAATGATGCTACCAAAAAATTGTACCTGAAAGATCTCGAACTAGATGATCGAACTCCAAACCTGGGCGAACTTAAGTGAACACAAACGGTCTTCGAATACCTGAAACAAAGACAACGAGGTGTGTTCTCATCGCCCCTCCGATGCTTAAGTCAAATAGGGAATTTTAGTGCGTGAGACTATAAATTGGAAATAATGAAAAATGTACCTGAAAAATGAGCTGGGTTATGTATTTATAGGTGCTGATGATAGAATCCTAGAATGACTTAAAAGTGTGTGGTCCTTATCCTCGTAGGATAAGAAGTTAGTGTTTATTTCAAAGTATTCTACTTGAGTTTGAATTGAGGAACGAGTCAATTTGGGTAAGAATTGTAGGTAGAATTTGATAGTTCTCCCCAGGAACCACGCCAAGGGATCGAGGGCCTTATATAAATAACGATGTCCAACCTTCCACCATGGGCCCGACCTCACCTACGAGAGATTCATAGGCAGGCAATATCGGGATAACGAGGTCGAGTTCAGATCCTAAGAGATGTTGGGTTATCAACAACTATACAAGTTCTTTATTGTAGAAGTATATATTCATTGTAATCGGAAAATATTTATATGATTTCATGCGAACTTATCTCTTATCAAAATTTTCTCTATTCATGATTCACATAATGCTTTTTTTAAGCCGACCTTGACGTACGTAATTCAAAATACTCGAGTGCCTTGCATAGTTTTTATGTATTGATGAAAGAGCTTGTGAATTTTAGCTTAGGTGCAAAGTATTTTGAATGAGTTAAGCAATTAATTGGCTATTGATCTCAAAATTTGAACTCGATAACATTAACTAAGTCACTTGCTCTTCATTTGACAAACTTGTAGGGTGCGAAGGATTTTTTCCATATGAAATGACAAGAAAATTTAAGGATCAACACACCTAAAATCAAATAGTAGAAGTCATTTTTATACTTTTTGAGGCATGGATCGGATTTAGGTCAAAAAATTCAACTCATAAGAATCATGGAGAGTAAGTAAAAAAAAATGGACAAGAGTAAATGTCTCCGTCCTAAAAAATAGCTACCTAACCATTGGAATGAAAATCTATTGACTTATTGTATAAACGTCTTCTACAAGAAAAAATATCTCTTAAGGAATGCAAGGAGGTTAAGGATAACACAAAAATATGGATATACATAATTCTAATGGGCAGTTGTGGGCCGATCAATGGGACCTTGAACCACGCCCAAGGTGAAAGGAAAAAGATAAGAAATGGAAAGATGATGATAAAAGCAAATGGGAAAAGAAGATATTGAGGCTCACCTGGGTGAAGAACATCAACAAGAAATTTGAAAATTTATGTTCGTCTTGTCCTTGTATAGATATCAGATACCAAAAGGCCATTCCCTTGACCTCTATTGATGAGAGTTTTGAATCTTTTGACGACTTCGATGATGAATTGTACAAAATTTATTTATTGTGAAAATTAGCTTCTTTTTTTATCTTGTTGAATGATATCAATAGACTCTGGTAACGTTTGAGTATTCTATTAGGGACTCTTTGAAAATATAGACTAAAAGAAGCTTCTAGACCTTTGAGGTGCTTGACTCTTTCCTCCTCCTTCTAGCGTCGGTGCATATAGATGAGGCTATCTTTCTTTTTTGTTTGAGTTTTTGGTTCTTGTTATTGCACTTAAACAACAAAATAGTATATTCCTTGTACCAAAAAAAAAAAAATTTGTTAATGGTACGATTAATTGAATAACCTTACCACAACACATTTTGAAAAAACAAATAAAAGTACAATTATAATAAATAATATCTCTTGATATACTATTTTCCAATGTATTCAGCGAGTTTATTTACAAAATTAAAGTCCATAATGTGGATAAAGTATTTCTAAAATCTTCCATTATTATACTAATTCAACCTTCCAAAAAAAAAAAATCTTGATGAAGATTTGATTTGAGCTATGCAAAAAATTAAATGAACGTTCATGATTATTATATTACTTATTTTATTGATTTAAAAATCTAATTTACTCCAAAAGGGTTATAAAAAAAAGGAAGCTAAAAGTCACTGAAAGTCATCCAACTTTTCAAAGTTCGCCACTTACTTTTTTTTATATACAAAGTATTTTTCTATCAACAAAATTCAATGAGTTTCAACAACAATAAAGAAAGTCTTATTCCAATCTTTGGAGTCAATTAGATGATTTCGTCTTCACCATTTAGTTCTATAGGCATACGTAAATGCTGACGTACAAGCAATGAGCAGCCACAACTTATTGTCCTGTTGGAATTTTCTAGTAGCTAACTCGAAGGATCTAAATGATATAGAATACGGCAACAAGGAAAAGAAAGGTAAAGAAATTTCTCATGCATTCATGCTAAGTTAGAAATAAATTTAGAAAGAGGAACAAGAGAGAGATTCTTTTCCTTGATATAATCTCAAAATAATAGGGCTCAAGTCGGAAAATGATGCGACATAAGTGTTGGAATTTTGAATCGAAAATTGGTTGTGACCAATTTTAAATGATCATTTAAGTGGAATTCTTGATTTGATGAATGAAAAATTAAGTCAAATGTAAGCCGCTTAATACTTGAAATTGTTGGAAAATTGTATAGAATATTGTGGAATATTCTAGAAAAGAGTTGGATGAAAAGATGTCTTTTCATATGAATGGTCATGACCTTTGGCATAATCATTTTTCAATAATTATGAATTCCAAGAGCGGCTCTTGGTATGTTTGTGTCTTTTGACAAACATTTCCAACTACTATATATAGATCACATGTGTTTGGATTTTATCATTCAAGAAAATCAATAGATAGTTCCATATCATTCCATTCCATGCTTACACTTTAGTTTACATAAAATACTTGCATCAAAGTTATGTTATGGTAGAGATGGAACTCCGTTCGAGTTCGTTGTTCTAAGCCATTTGGAGTGTTCTTATGGCTAGACGTGGTCGTTGTACCTTGGAAGATGATTGCCGAAAAATTGTTAGCACCAATGCAAGATAGATTCATCTTAAGGACAAAGTGCCCAACACTTGCCTCGGTCAATCCTATCTCACGTTGATTCTTTCTAATTTCTTTTTTCGTATTTGATTTTAGAAAGTTAGTAACATTCTTTGGTTAATGTAGGTTCGAAATAAAGAATGGAAATGATTGAATCTATCGTTTCATCTTCCCAAATCCATTTCGATCAGACGAAACTGTGTTTCAATTTCGTGAACATAAATTATATGTTTTGTGAATATAATATGCACAATATTGATGTAAATTTCCAACAATAAGCTGTATCATCCAGACGGAAACAATCTAGATCACTAGTTAATGCCCTAAATGATAAAGACAGTAGTTGTAGAGACAAAAGCAACCCTTCTCGATCTGGAATTATTTGTCAAGAATGGGCACAAAGAAGTCAACTAGAACAAGGCGTCCAACATATAGATATGAAGACCCACAGAGATGGTGTTAGTTATTTACAGGTTATTAAACTATGTCATGCACACATTACATGGAAACAACCTCGCAAGACCATTTTGGTGCAAGGCTCGAGGCGTATACCACATTCATCTTCTCCCTCGGTACCTAAGTTGGCCAACCCACCACCTCCTAGTCTCTTCTTGCCATTGCTTTCAAGAACCATATTTTCATCTTCAATACTATCGAACGACATAATGTCATGACGGAATCGCTGGCGTGATGGCAAAATAACGGCTGCAATTTTGATTTCTCCAGTACTATATGAGAATAATCACATGAATGGCTTTGCTTGAAGTAAACAAACATGTAAATGATGAACCATAAAAGTCTTGAACCTTTGATCCGTATACACCTTTAAAACTAAATAGAGAATATGAACTAAATGATTTAACATACATCACTATATAAAAATTGAAAGAGATCAGTTTAAAATTAAAAATTCAATGTCACAACAAGAAGACAATTTTATAAGAGACCTTGTAGATAAGTACCAAGATTCAGCATTTCGGGAACAATTACATTTTCAAATGGTTTTTGTTCAATCTAATTCTTTAATTATTCAATTAAAAAAAGACAATAAATCAATTAATCACCATAAAAAAGAAGCAGAAACTAACCAAAAATTAACTCACTACTTTAAAGGAAAATGTTGACCTCGGAAATTGGACCCTCCACGTGGCCAATCGATAGCCACTCCACGTATTTCTTCCTGCGC